GTCAGGAAGTGATTTGGAATCTACAAGAGAATTATTTTTGCTCATTGGCATTTCTGATCATCAGTGAGGGTATCATTTGAAAGCTCCATTTTGTAAGGTATTTCCATTGCTAGAATACCTGAATTGGAGTATCTAAGTCAAAAGAAGCTAAATAGAAAACATCACTTTGAGCCAATATGAGTCTCTTTCCTGGTCAGTATGAAAAAATGTCAGAAGTACAACTTGTGCCCCGGACATGTTGGTGTGTAGTATACACTTACTGGTTGATGATGTGGTTTGGCTTTGTGTCCCCACCCAAATCTCATGTTTAAATGTAGTCCCCATTGTTGGAAGCGGGACCTGGTGAGAGGTGGTTGGATCATGGGAGTGGTTTCTGATGGTTTAGCAACATTGCCCTAGTACTGTCTCGTGAGAGTTCTCAGGAGATCTGATGGTTTTAAAGTGTAGTACTTCCTCCATTGCTCACTGTCAGTCATATGCCTTGCTTCCCCTTTGCCTTCTGCCGTGATTGTAAGTTTCCTGAGGCCTCTCCAGCCATGTGGAACTATAAGTCAGTTAAGTCTTTTTTCTTTTTTTTCTTTTTCTTCTTCTTTTTTTTTTTTTTGGACCCGGAGTCTCGCTCTGTCACCCAGGCTGGAGTGCAGTGGTGTGATCTCCCCTCACTGCAAGCTCTGCCCCCGGGTTCACGCCATTCTCCTGCCTCAGCCTCCTGAGTAGCTGGGACTACAGGTGCCCACTACCATGCCCGGCTAATTTTTTTGTATTTTTAAAAGAGAAGGGGTTTCACCATGTTAGCAGGATGATCTCAATCTCCTGACCTCGTGATCTGCCCTCCTCAGCTTCCCAAAGTGCTGGGATTACAGGCGTGAGCCACCGCGCCTGGCCTAAACCTCTTTTCTTTATAAATTACCCAGTCTCAGGTAGTTCTTTACAGCAGACTGCAAATGGACTAATACAGTTGACTTCTAGGTGTTCTTGGATTTATCTTGGTCTTTGCAGTTTTAAGTATATATGTTTTTTAGTTTATTTCATGTATTTCTAAAATTTCTAGATATTACTAAAGTCTGTTGGTTTCTGCAGCAGGACTGCAATCTTTTTACTACAGTCAACAAAGCATAGCATGACAATCTTGTTTTCACACACGCACCGCTATTTTCAAGGCTGTTTTGCATGTATTTCTGTCTTTTTCCTGGTCTTCAGGGGTCAAGAAATGGTTTTCTTGGGGCAAAGAGCTTTGTTCAGCTTTGCAGACCTCCCAGTCTCAGCTGCAAATACAGACTCTGCTCCTGCACCTTAAAAGTAGTCACATGGTAAGACCGCATCCCTATAGAAAGTCAAAAAATTAGCCAGGCATGGTGGCACACACCTGTGGTCCCTGCTACATGGGAGGCTGAGGTGGGAGGATGGCCTCCTGGGGGAGTTCAAGGCAACAGTGAGCTATGATTGCACCACTGCACTCCAGCCTGGGTGACAGAGTCAAACCTTGTCTCACAAAAAAGAAAAATATGATAAACTCAGGCTCTTTCATTTGGCCTATACACATGTATTGATCACCTGTTGCGTGCCACGTACTGTTCCATGAATGAGGAGTATCAAGAAAGTCAGTGATGGGTGTGGTGACTCACATCTGTAGTCCCATTACTTTGGAAGGCTGAAGTGGGAGGATCACTTCAGCCCAGGAGTTTGAGACCAGCCTGGGCAAAATAGTGAGATGTCGTCTCTACCAAAAATTAAAAAAAAAAGAAAAAAATCAGCCTGGCGTGGTGGTGTGCACCTGTAGCCCCAGCTGCTCAGGAGGCTGAGGTGGGAGCATAGCATGAGCACTGGAGGTCAAGGTTCAGTGCAGTGAGCCAGGATCACGCTGCAGTACTCCAGCCTGGGGGCAACAGATCAAGACCCTGTCTCAAAAAAAAGTAGTTCACTTGCAGTTTATTGAGGGTGCCTTATAGTGCTGTGCAAACCGGTTCAGTACCGAGCTCTCCAAGGCAGGACATATCAGGTACTGCTTGTGCTGTAGACTGAAGGAAGCCTCGAGAAAGGTGTTCTATTCTTGGCCATACTGGCGTATTCACCACTGTAAACTTTATTTTAACAATTTTTTAATATTTTATTTCATTTATGTACTCCATCTCACTCTGTCACCCAGGCTGGAGTGCAGTGGCATGATCTCAGCTCACTGCAACCTCTGCCTCTCAGGTTCAGGCAATTCTCCTGCCGCAGCCTCCTGAGTAGCTGAGATTACAAGCACCAGTGACAATGTCCAGCTAATTTTTGTATTTTTAGTAGAGATGGGTTTCACCATGTTGACCAGGCTGGTCTGGAACTCCTGACCTCAAGTGACCTGCGTGCCTCAGCCTCTCAAAGTGCTGGGATTGCAGACATGAGCCTCGGCGTCCAGCCTATATTTTATTATTTTATTTCATTTTATTTATTTAATTTAATTATTTATTTTTTATTTTTTATTTGACAAGGTCTCACTCTGTCACCCAGGCTGGAGTGTGGTGATGTGATCACCGCTCACTGCAGCCTTGACCACCTGTGCTCAAGCGATCCTCCTCCCTCAGCCTCCCAAGTAGCTGGGACTACACTTGTGCATCACCACACTCAGCTAATTTTTTTTTAAAGGACTGGATTTGCCATATTTCCCAGGCTTATTTTATTTTTTAAATTGACACATAATAATTGTATGTATTCATGGGGTACCTAGTGATGCTTTGATACAAAGAATGGAGTAATCAGATCAGGGTTAATTAGCATATCCATCATTTCAATTATTTACCATTTCTTTGTGTTACAAACATTGAATATCCTGTACGTGTTTGAAACTGTATGACATGTTATTGCTAATTAAAATCACCCTACAAGGCAATAGAACACTGGAACATATTCCTCCTATCTTGTATCCTGTTTTTTTTTTTTTTTTTTTTTTTTGAGATGGAGTCTCACTCTGCCGCCCAGGCTGGAGTGCAGTGGTGCGATCTCAGCTCACTGCAAGCTCTGCCTCCTGGGTTTACACCATTCTCCTGCCTCAGCCTCCCGAGTAGGTGGGACTACAGGCACCCGCCACCTCGCCCGGCTAGTTTTTGTATTTTTTTTTTTAGTAGAGATGGGATTTCACCGTGTTAGCCAGGATGGTCTCGATCTCCTGACCTCGTGATCCGCCCATCTTGGCCTCCCTAAGTGCTGGGATTACAGGCTTGAGCCACCGCGCCTGTCCTTCTTGTATCCTTTAACAAACCTCTCCCTATCTTTCCCTTCTTCCCTTCCCAGAATCTAGTATCCTCTGTTCTTCTTTATCCTTTCAGGAGATTAGCTTTTTATAGCTTTCATGTATGAGTAAGCACAAGTACTGTTTAATGTTCTTTTCCTGGCTTATTTCACCTAACGTAACGTCCTCCAGTTTCATCCGTGTTGCTGCCAATCAGAGGATTTTATTCCTTTTCATGGCTGAATAGTATTCTACTGTGTGTAGATAGCACCTTTTCTTTACTGTCTGCTCATCTGCTGGTGGACACCTAGGTTGATTCCCTATCGTGGCTGTTGTGAATAGTGCTGCGGTAAACATGGGCATGCCAATGTCTCTCTGATATCATGGCTTCCTTTGCTCTGAACAGATACCTGGTAATGTCATGGCCGGGTCATGTGGGAGTTCCATTTCTAGTTTTTAGAGGAACCTCCATACTCTTCTCTATGGTGGCTCTACTAGTTTACATTCCCACCAACATTGCATGAGAGTTCCCTTTCTAGCCAGGCACGGAGGCTCATGCTGGTAATCCCAGCACTTTGGGAGACCAAGCTGGGTGGATCACTTGAGCACAGGACTTCAAGACCAGCCTAGGCAACATGGTGAACCCCCCGCCCCCTCCAAAAAGTACAAAAATTAGCCAGTGTGATGGTGGGCGCCTGTGGTCCCAGCTACTTGGAAGGCCGAGGCAGGTCGATCGCTTGAGCCTGGGAGGCAGAGGTTGCAGTGAGCTGAGATTGCACTGCTGCACTCCAGCCTGGGAGACAGAGCCAGATCCTGTCTTAAAAAAAAAAAAAAAAAAGAGTTCTCTTTTCTCCACACCCTCACCAGCATTTGTTATTTTTGTGTGTATGTGTCTTTTTTTTTTTTTTTTTTTGAGACGGAGTTTCACTCTTGTCGCCCAGGCTGGAGTGCAGTGGCATGTTCTCAGCTCACTGCAACTTCTACCTTACAGATTCAAGTGATTCTCCTGCTTCAGCCTCCCGAGTAGCTGGAATTACAGACGTGTGCCACCATGCCTGCCTAATTTTTGTATTTTTAGTGGAGATAGGGTTTTACCATGTCGGCTAGACTGGTCTCAAATTCCTGACCTTAGGTTATCTACCCACCTTGGCCTCCTAAAGTGCTGGGCTTACAGTGTCTTTTTGGTAATGGCCATCTTAACTGGGTTGAGATGATTGTTACCTCATTGAGGTTTTGATTTGCATTTCTCTGGTGATTAGTGACACTTAGCATTTTTTTCATATACCTGTTGGCCTTTTCCATGTCTTCTTTTGAGAAATGTCTGTGAAGACCACCTGTCCATTTTTTAATTGGACTGCTTATCTTTTCGCTGTTGAGACGTTTGAGTTCCATGCTTGGTCACGGTGGTGGATTCACCCCGGTAAACATGAGAGAGCATTTCCGTCCAGTGTTTAGTGCACAGTTAAGGAATGGGCTGGTGGCCCCTCTGAATAAGATGCTCAAAGGAGTTGCCTTCTGCCTCAAAGGAGTTGCCTTCTGCCTCTCAAATGGTCTTTATATTCTCTCCAAGGCAGCTTCCCTTACATCGGGCTGCGGCACACGATGCCTTGCCTCTTAGAACCATCTGAGTGTCATGTGCTTTCAGATCATGACAACTTCAGTGTGCGGGGAAGAGTGCACGTGAAATAAATTATCTTCTGCCTGTGTTAAGCAGAAATAGCTATTGTTACAAAGCAGGGATTTTTTTCCATGCTTACTCCCCACTAAATATACATGTTTCTTTTTCTAACAGGTTTCCTCCGTTTTTTGATGACAACCCGTTTGGCATTTATCAGAAAATTCTTGCAGGCAAAATAGATTTCCCCAGACATTTGGATTTCCATGTAAAGTAAGTAAACCGTTTGCCTCGTCATGGGGTGTGTTTATTTTTAGAGTGTCTAAAATCACCATGAAAACACGCACTCAGCAGGATACCATATTGTGGTATTACATGTGCTGTGCATAAACTATTTTGGACAGTTATCTTTTCCATAAGAAAAAATATTTTAAGTATTCTACTTTTCACATTTTAATGATTCTTGGCCGTATTTTATTCTTTTGGTGATATGTTATGTTTAAAATGAGCCAATGAATGAGTTTGTCATCGTATTTTATAAGAGAGCAGTTTTGGAATTTGTCAAGAAGGATCCTCCTAGTTCTGTGGCTCGTAGAACTGTTGATGGGTTTAGCAGAGTTTTATCTTTTCTCTCCTGCTTAAGTTATGCTCAACCTGTAAGTCCTTTTTAACATCAGCATTTTCAGTTCTGAGCATGTTGCTTTACGAACATTTACATAGTTGCTGGATATTGGCAACTTTGGATGCACATTTTATTAAGGTTGTTGCAATAGGGAGAAAAGATACTTTGTTAAATATAAGAATGCTTTTGGTTTTCTGGCTACCTTACCCAATGTGGTCAGCTGGTAGCCATTTTTACTGTAATAAGCACTGATTTCTGTTTGTTTCCCTGTATTTTTCAGATGAGGTGATGGGTGCACCAACCCCCTGGGCACAAAGTAGAGCTAAATCTATCTAGTTGAGAATTAAACTTTTATTTTCCATGGCCTATTTTCTTGTGAGCCAGTGGAAGTTCAGTTTGGAGAAGACTTATTTCAGGGCGACAGACCAGGTTGTTTTGAATATGCCCCTTATGGGGCCACTGGCTACGTTCAGTTGAGTTTCTTAGTGGCGAATGCACCCCATCCTAACCAGAGGTTCTTAGTCTGAACAGAAGATAAGGTTGTGTTTTATTGGCTTCAACTTGTGTTGTGTTTGACACACTAGAGGCAGGCTTTAAAAGGCTTCAGCAAGAAAACGAGGCTCTGCTTAAGAATGAATCGCTTAGAATGGACACCCTGTCCCTCAAAGACAGGGTGGTGTCAAAGGAAACAGCACCTCAGAAGCCAACTGCTCTGGAAGGAAATGGAAAGGATTGTATAGAACCTCTGTCTCAGGCCCCAAATCCCGTCTGAGTCGAGTGACATTATATCAAGTGGTTGGCAAAGCACTTTTATGATTGAGTTTGGCCAGGTGAGGTGCTCATGCCTGTAATCCCAGCACTTCAGGAGGCTGAGGTGGGAGGATTGGTTGGGGCCAGTAGTTTGAGGCCTGCTTGGACAATGTAGTAACACCCCCCATGTCTACAAAAAATTAAAAAATTAGCTGGTCTTGGTAGCCTGTGCCTGTGGTCGCAGCTACTAGAGAGGCTGAGATGGGAGGACTGGTTGAGCCCAGGAAGTCGAGGCTGCAGTCACCTGTGATTGCACTGCTACACTCCAGACTGGGTGAAGGAGTGAGACCCTTTCAAAAAAAAATTTAAAAAATAATTATATATATATATAGATGTATATGGGGTGGAAGGAGAGGGCGAGAGGTTTCCAATGTCCTGTGGAAACAAACAAACAAAAAAAGGAGTTGCAAAAATAGAACACACCAGAAGCATAATCAAAGTCTGGTCTCTTGCCACTTTTCCTTCTTTCTCTCCTAGAGAGTAGGGAACCAGCGGTGACCATCTTGGTCCTGTCTGATCTAACATCCCTCTCTTTATGTAGCTCCCAGCCCCTTCCAGTGTTCCCCACAATGTCCCTGTCTCTTTACATACCCAGTGCGGGTCCACCAAGAGCAGGAACAGTGGTAGTTGAGTAAAACTTCACTTCTTCCCATTTTTTGTTAAATCTTATCAAATTGACTGAGAAGCAAGAGCTCAATGACTCGTATCTTTTTTTTTTTTTTTTTTTTTGGTAGAGATGGGTATGGGGAGGGCCTTGCTTCGTTACCCAGGCTGATCTTCAACTCCTTGGCTCAAGTGATCCTCTTGCCTTGTCCTCCCCAAATGTTGGGATTACAGGTGTGAGCCACTGCACCTGGCCTTAGTGACACATTTTTCTTATGCAAATTGCTGTCTCTGGTTGGCCGTGATGCTAGAACTTTGATTCTCAGCTTTTAAAGTGATATGTTGCTTCCTGCAGTTTTTAACATTTGACTGGATAAACATTTTGCCTCGACATATGGCACATCAGAATTGACATTCCTTATAGAAATAAATACCATTTAAAAGAAAAGAAAAACACCAAAACAAAGCTCTGGGGCTTGTTACCAATTTAGCAGAGGTATTATCTTCTGGTGTTTTTTTCACAACTGAAAGTATCTGGATCTAAGAGGAGCCAGCTGGTGTCAGGATCACACATAAAGTTTAGAATTTTGGCTATGGTGAATCAAAAGAGTGCTGGCAGACATATCGCCTATCCTGGAGTCAAGGGACCCGTCTATAGCTGCGGACACTTGTGGTGTTTCTTTACAGGGCTTTGCATTTTTAGGGGGCCCCTACTCACCCACACTCTTTGCTTTCTGAACTGCTTTACAAGAATTTGCTTTGGTAGTTTACTTTTTCTTTTGAAGAGAAGGGTGTCTTGCTCTGTCACCCAGGCTGGAGTGCAGTGACACAGTCATAGCTCACTGCAGCCTTGACGTCCTGGGCTCAGGTGATCCTCCCACCTCAGCCTCCTGAGTAGCTGATGCTACAGGCATGCACCACCATGCCTTGCTAATGTTTTGACTTTTTGTAGAGATGTGGGGTCTTACTATGTTATCCACACGAGTCTCAAACTCTTGGTCTCAAGTGATCTTGCCACTTCAGCCTCTTGCGTAGCTGGGGTTACAAGCCACCATTCCCTGTATTTTAGATAAATCTTCATTTTCTTAGATGCCAAACTCAAAAAGAAAAAAAAACAAAAACCAAGGCCATCAAACACTTTGTTTTCTTACATGCCAAACACCAAAAAAAGAAAAAAGAAAAAAAAATGAAGTTTATTAAGGTGATCCCCAGAACATTCTGAAATAAACATGGGGCTTTTCTTCCTGTATAATTTACACCACTGCCTGCCCCATTAGCACACACACTTATAGCTGATTGGACTGGAATTATAAGGAAACAGAAGTTTATTTAAAATCTAAAAGCATAAAAAATCTTTGTTATAATTCCACTCCAGTCAGGTTTAAGTTTAGTATTGCACGAAGGGGGCAGACAGTGGTGTAAACTACATGGGGAAAAAGCCCCACATTGATTTGGGAATGTTTTGGGGGTATGGTGTTTGATGACCTTGGTATTTTTTGGCAAGGGGGAGGATGTCGAAATAATGAAGGAGAAACTCAGTAAGTACTGTAAAGCTAACTTTTCAGTGATGTTTATATTCCCCACCCTGCTCAAAGCTTTTCAGCCTTACAGGATGGATACAAAATCCCAGCCTTAGGTGGGCAGACAGATGGTCTCTGAGTTTTACTTTGAGACAGAGAAGCTGTGAAGTCTGACAAGTATCCCATCGTAATTCAGAAAGCATGGTGGCAGGAAACTGGTTAAATTTCTGATCAGACAGGACTGGCGAGATTCATAGTCTAGATGGTGGAGTCTGAGCCTGGGATGTCACCTGGCTTGTCGGAGACTCCGCAGTCCGTCACAGAACCTGGGAGTAACCCAGTCCAAGTTCGTGCTTCTTTCCCTGGGCTATAGTTTATGCCAGGAAAGCCTAGACGCTTACACCAGGGTCGTGGGTATTGGATTATTTGGGGGGACTTCAATATATTATTATATCATATTATGTATGTTATATATAATATACTCAGTGTATTGTGTGTGTACACGCAGACACACATGATCATTTCTACTTGCATAAATATGCGTCTTAAAACTCACCTAATCTACTGGAAGTCTTCAACATCATCTCTAACTACCCATCCTAATTGAACCAGCTTGCTGTTTTTCTTTTGTTTTGTTTTGAGACAGAGTCTCACTCTATCACCCAGGCTGGAGTGTAGTGGTGCCATCTTAGCTCACTGCAGCTTCACCTCCTGGGTCCAGGTAGTTTTTGTGCATCAGCCTGCCAAACAGCTGGGACTATAGGCATGTGCCAGCATGCCCAGCTAAATTTTTTTGTTTTTTAAAATAGAGGTGGGGTTTCACCATGTTGGCCATGCTGGTCTTGACCTCCTGACGTCAAGTGATCCATGCCCGTCGGCCACCCAAACTGTTGGGATTACAGGCGTGAGTCAATGTGCTTGGCCTCCCCACGTGCTGTACTTCTGACATGGTCTGTTATTTAAAAAGGAAGATTACAAGTGAAGAAGCAGACTTAGGAGACTCATCCTAATGTGTGTGCTTATGGGAAAGCCAGCCTTTTACAACAGGAATTCCATCAGTAAGCAGACCCCCAGGGCAGCGTGTGACTGTGGATGCTGGTGAAAGCAGATGTCTTCTATTTTGCAGGGACAGCCTGACAGGCATGTTTACGTTAAGTGTCTGGATCCTCCCTGCAGGCACAATAAATTTCACCCTTTTCTACTCAAAGGGGTAGTTTCTTTACAAACATGTAATCAACACTTTTCCCTTTACTTCAGCCATGCATGGGGCAGCCCAACCTTGCATAAGTTATTTGAAGCTCATGATAGTATGAAATAAGCACTACAAAGTGTTTTGCCAAAGTGGAAATAGAACTGCCGTCCTCATATCAGGTAGATCTTATATCTGTTGCCATGTTGCATTTGCTGATGTTGATATAAATGATCTGCTTTTTTATTTTTGTCTCCTTTCCCTAAGAGACCTCATTAAGAAACTGCTTGTGGTTGACAGAACAAGGCGATTAGGAAACATGAAGGTCAGTATTTGATCCCATAGGTATTCAGTGGTACCCGATGTGCATGTCTGCCGTCTGACACCCACAATGATGTGTGCAGATATAAACCAAGCCTCAATGGTCTTTAAACTTTACCAAATTTAAAATCTGGTTTTTCATTTATTGTTTTTTAAATTTTACTTGAAACTACCAGGAAAGATCTATCAAATCTGGGTGTCTGGGTGCACAACGTCAAACTGGGTCTACACCGTATCTCCCCTCACCTCTGAGCAAGCTAATAGAGCAATAACAATTTATAAGTTATTATTCATTATTTTGTTTACTTATCTCATTTTTAAACAGCTTTACGGAGAGTGAATTCACACGCCATGCCATTTACCTCTCTAAAATGTGGTGCAATTCAGTGGCTTTTAGTATACACATAATTATGTAACAGCCACCCCCATGGTTAATCTTAGAACATTTTTATTAGCTCAAAAAAGAAACCCTGCACCCTTCAGCTATCACTGTGCTAGTCTTTCTTCCTCTCTTGCCCTAAGTCAGTGGTCCCCAACCTTTTTGGCACCAGGGACTAGTTTCGTGGAAGACACTTTTTCCATGGAGCATGCAGCCTAGATCCCTTACATGTGCAGTTGACAGTAGGGTGTGTGCACCTATGTGAATCTAATGCCATGGCTGATCTGACAGGAGGTGGAGCTCAGGTGGTAATGCAAATGATGGGGGAGCAGCTGTAAATACAGGTGACGCTTCACTCATTCACCTGCTGTTCACCTTTTACTGTGTGGCCCATTTTGGTTCCTAACAGGGCATGGACTGCTACTGGATCATGGCCCTGGGGTTGGGGACCCCTGGGTTAGGGACCCCTAACCTAAGCAACCACTAATCTACTGACTTTCTCTCTAGGGTTTTATATTCTGGGCTCTGCTAAAAATGGAATTGTACAAAATGTCACCTTTTGTGTCTGGCCTGTTTCACTGAGCATGACATCTTTAAGGTTCATCCATGCTGTAGCCTGTGTCAGAGCTTCATTCCTTTTCCTGGCTGCATAGTATTCCACTGTATGGGTGGACCTTGTTTTGTTTATCCATTCATCCATGGACGGACACCTGGGCTGTTTCCACCTTTGTCTTTTGTGAATAGTTCTGCCATCGATATAGGTGTATATATTTTTACGTATGCAAGCAATGATTTTAGAAGTTGTGCATCAGGTATGATTTCCACAAACTTTTTGTGTGGAAGCAAATACATAATTGACAAAAACTGTTCCATAAATAATATCATACCTTATATGCATGTTTTGGCATCCCTGAACCTGATAGAATTCATGGACTTTTTGTAGGCTGTTTCTAGCTCTGGACAACATTGGAGGGACTTATACATGGAGGGTCTTCCATGTACATCTTGACCCTGTAAATTCCCTTTTGGAGAGACACAGTATACCAGGGTGTGAGGGTTGAACCACTTGGCTCTCTTGGGTTTGTGTTGCACCCTCTGTGTGGTTTGGGAGTCTCCAGTGGCTGCCATAACAACTGACCACAAACTAGGGGCTTACACAACAGGAATTTATGCTCTCACATCTCAGTCCTAGAAGCCAGGACTCTGAAATCAAGGTGTCTCAGGCCTCCAGACGCTCTAGGGGAGGATCCTTTCTGCCTTTGCCAGCTCCTGGGGCTCCCTGGGCTTGTGGCATACCTGGGCTTGTGGCCACATCACTCTAGTCTCTGCTTCTGCCTCCATGTGGTGTTTTCCTCTGTGTCTGTGTCTTCTCTTCTCTCTCTCAGAAGGACACCTGTCATTGGGTTCAGGGCCACCCTAATGCAGGAATATCTCATCTCAAGAGCCTTCCCTTAACTACATTTACAAAGATCCCTTTTTGCATGTAGGGTTCCATTCCCAGGTACTGGGAGTCAGGACATGGGCATATACTTTGGGGGCCTCTGCCCAGTGTGTGATAATGGTGTCTACTTCCTACTAGAGGCTCTAGGGGGGATCCTCCTCTGTGTTTGTGTCTCCTCTTCTGTCCCTTATGAGGATACCTGTCACTGGATTTAGGGCCTACCCTTCTCCAGGATGATGTCATTGCAAGAACCTTAATTTACTTACATCTGCAAAGACCCTATTTCCAAATAAGGTGATATTCACAGGCACTCAGGGGAGAGGACATTCACATCTTTTTGAGAGACATTGTTTATTCTGAAACAGTAGTCAAGCCTCTGTCCTTTACATTATTTGTAGACAGCAACTGATACCTTCAGGTCTCCGAGGATCCTATCCAGCCAGGTTGCACTGTGTGGACTAATCTGCGCCGTGACTCTTCATAAGGATGGACAGGTCCTGTATTAATGCCACAGCCATTTAGAAAAGAGCTGGGTCTCTTGCCGGAACTGCAGGGAATCACAGATGACCCATATCTAGAATCTGCTGGGAGTGGTGTAGTGATTGTCATAGCTGCCCTCCTAGGGGAAAGAACAAGTTTCCTCATCAAAGGAATTGGGGAAAAACTCACAAACTGTCAAACTAGGTCTTAAAGTCTAGTTAAAGCTTCCTTATAAGAAGATAAACTGAAAAAGACTCAAGAAAACATTGATTTTATTTTATTTTATTTTTGTAAAGTTAACAAATAAAAATGGTTTTATTTATCATGTACAACATGAAGTTTTGAAATATGCACCCATTGTGGAATTGGTCCATTGAGTTCATTAACATATGCATTACCTCACATAATTACCATTTATTTGTGGTGAGAACACTTAAGATCTACTCTGAAAAAAATTGTTTTTAAGAGATGGGGTTGTGATGTGTTGCTCAGGCTGGTCTCAAACCCCTGAGCTCAAGTGATCTGCCTGCCTCGGCCTCACAAAGTGCTAGGATTACAGGCAAGAGCCACTGCACCCAGCAAGATCTACTCTTCTAGAGATTCTTGAGAGTACATCATTAGTTATAGTCACCGAGCTGTGCAAGCGACTGACTGAACTTGTTCCTCCTGTCTCACTCACTTTTGTCTCTTTTGACCAATGACTTCCCATCTCAGTCCCTTCCCAGCCCCTGGTATCCACCATTCTACTGTCTGCTTCTATGAGTTCAACTTTTTTAGATTTCCCGTATAAGTGAGGTCAGACTGTATTTGTCTATCTGTGCCTGGCTTATTTCTGTCTCTTTCTCTCTCTCTTTTTTTTTTTTGTGAGACAGTCTTGCTCGTTTGCCCAGGGTGGCGGACAGTGACGCAGTCTCCGCTCACGGCAACCCCTGCCTCCTAGGTTCAAAGGTTCTCCTGCATCAGCCTCCGGAGTAGCTGGGATTGCACCATACCTGGCTAATTTTTGTATTTTTTGGTGCAGATGGGGTTTCACCATGATGGCCAGGCTGTTCATGAACTCCTGACCTCAAGTGATCTGTCTGCATCAGCCTCCCCCAAAGTGTTGGGATTACAGGTGTGAGTTACCATGCCTGGACCTTATTTCTCTTAATACAGTATCCTCCAGGTTGATGCATGTTTTTGAAAATGACCGCATTTCCCTCCTTTTCCTTGCTGAATAGTAGTCCATGGCATATATATCACACATTTTCTTTATCCACTTCCCTCTTGATGGGCATGTAGGTTGATTCTACTACATCTTGGCTGCTTTGACCTTGCTGCAATGAGCAGAGGGTGCAAATGATATACTCATTTGTTTTTTTCTTTGGGTGTATACACAGTACTGGGATTGCTGAAGCTTACTTTCTATTTTTACATTGTCAGGGAAGAAACAGTCTGATTAAAATGGAGGTATATTCCTGTGTAGCCCCTGGTCTATGGGTGCGCTAGAGAGGAATACTTACTCTTTATCCTGCTCTGACCACCTCTCCATTCTCACCTGCACTGCCATCCTTAGCCTGGGTGTATCACTGCGTTCCCAGGCAGTTGTCATAACTGCTTCTGGCACCGCCCTCAACGCCCCTGACTTTCCCCATCAATCCCTCCTTTCTGTAGGAAGAGGGTCTGTCATTCATAGCCTGGGACCCCAGGGCTTTAGCTTGGTGCTCAGAACCTTCCAGGTTCCTCTCATCCTGTGCTTCTCTTCTGATGATTTCCTGGTCTTTCCCATGAACCTTCATGCAGCCAGGATGGATGAACCACCCAGTCACATATGTGTAACCATCATACCTTGTTGTTCTTCTCTCTTCACTTGGCCCCTCTTTATTCGGGGATCTTCCCTTCTTCTGGAACCACATCCATTTTGTTGAACTCCTTCATCCTCTGTGGACACTGCTGTGCCATTCATGCTTGGAAAATCCCCGGCACATGGGTTCCTTTTTTTCATATTAGCTGGCCTTAAACACACATGTATTTGCACACACACTTTATATATATAAAATGTAAAATATATAGAGAATTACATACAAATTTATTTATATAATATAAAGTGTGTGTATCTATATATACACATTGCATTTTTATGCATCATATACAAACTAGCATACAAAAAGGTCAAAGGAATATAGATTTATCTATACATTATATAAATAGATAATTGCACATATATGTAGATTTATCTGTAAATTATGTATTTATATATTGATATTTATATATCTCTATAAATATATAGTGTGTATATTACATATAAATAACTGTATTTAGAAATATAAATATATAAATCTATATAATACATATATAAGTGTAAATATAGATGTACGTATTATATCTATATATGTTTATATATAGTATACAGATATACCTGTATATTTTATATATATATAAAATATAGGTATATAGATATAAAGTGTGAAGCCAGGTGCAGTGGCTCACACCTGTAATCCCAGGACTTTGGAAGGCCAAGGGAGGAGGATTGCTTGATCCCAAGTGTTCCAGACCAGTGCAGGCAACAACAGTGAGACCCCCAATTCTACACAGTATACAAAAATTAGCCAGGCATGGTGGTGCATGCCGGTAATCCCAGCTACTCTCAAGCTGAGGCATGAGAATTACTTGAACCCAGTAGGCATGGGCTGCAGTGAGCCAAGATGGCACCACTGCACTCCAGCCTGGATGACAGAGTAAAACTGCATCTTAGAAAAAAAAAAAAAAAGTAGAGTATAGTAAATAGATAAATCAGGGAGACAGTCGTTTATTATCATTACCAACTATTAGGTGCTGCAGATAACATACGTGTTAGACTGTTGTACGGCTAGCAGTGCAACAGGAGGGATGCGCTGTCCTGTGGTTACAATGGCCGTGACGTCACTAGGGGATAGGAGTTTTTACGATCATTATAATCTTATGGGAGCACCACTGTATATGTCATCCATTGTTGACTGAAGCGTTATTTCGAGACTCATGACTGTAGACACACACCCACACATACACTAACTTTTTTCTTTTTCTTTTTTTTTTTTTGAGATGGAGTCTCGCTCTGTCGCCCAGGCTGGCGTGCAATGGCCGGATCTCAGCTCACTGCAAGCTCCGCTTCCGGGGTTCACGCCATTCTCCTGCCTCAGCCTCCCCAGTAGCTGGGACTACAGGCCTTTTTCTTTTTTTTTTTTTGGAGACAAGGGCTTGCTCTGTCACCCAGGCTGGAGTGCAGTTGTGTGATCACAGCTCATTGCACCCTTGACCTCCTGGACTCAAGTGATCCTCCCACCTCGGCCTCCCGAATAGCTGGGACTACATGCACGCACCACCATGCCTGGCTAATTTTTAATACTTTTTTGTAGAGACCAGGTTTCACGTTGTTACCCAGGTTAGTCTCAAAGTCCTGGGCTCAAGCAGTCCTCTTTGAGGACTCCCAAAGTGCACTCCCAGAGTGCTGGCATATAAATGTGAGCCACTGCTCCCAACCCCCACACACTTTATATCATGCACATACACACACACACACACAGTTTGGATACTTATGTATGTAGAAGTGTGTGTATATATAAATATGTGTATATATTAACATGTGTATGTGTATATGTATATATAGATAAATGTGTATAGATTAACGTGTATGCATATAAGTATGTGAATATATAAATACATGTATATATTGTGTGTATGCGTATGTGTGTATATATAAATGTATGTATATAAATGTGTGTATGTATATAAATATGTATATATACAAATGTGTATAAATGTGTATATGCGTGTATGTGTATATATAAATGTGTATATATTAACGTGTGTATGTATATAAATATGTGTATAGATCAGTATATGTGTATATATTAACGTGTATGTGTATAAAAGTATGTATATATCAATGTGTGTGTGTATATATAAGTGTGTGTGTGTGTATATTACTGTGTATGCATGTGAGTACATACACATCTTTTAGTATCCAAATTAGAATTTTATCTGATGGATAAAATTTATTTTATTTTATTCACAACACTCTTACTTTTATTCACAACATTGCTGAAGGTAAAACTCAACAGCTATTATTTGTTGCCTTGGGAGGGATTTCAGAGGTCGTGATGGCCACAGTGTGAGCCAGCCGATGCCTGGTGCTACCCTTGAGCATGAAGCAGGCCGACTTGAATGCAGGTTGTTAATTGCCAGGCCATGCAATATCGTTCCTAAGATCTCTTAAATTGGACATCCTTAGTTTGAGTTCCCAGTCTTGTTATTTACTTGCTGGTTCCTACTAAGCAAATTAGTATCTTTCAGTGAACCCTAGTTTCTATATCTGTAAAATACTGAATAAGTTTGCAAGATGAAAACAGGAGACAAACTGGGAAATTACTGGGTGTCCAATTTCATGTCGAGAGATGGAATCGTATTTATCATTTTCGTCTTTGGTCCGCAATACCAACGCATTGCACAGGAGCAGAATGACTGGATTTGTTTCTGCAACAAAAAAGGGCAAACAAAACACTAACAGCTTTGCTTGCAGGTTTTCCTAGCAGCTCACCCTCCAGGCACAGTTATCCAAAATGCAGCAAACTTGTTCCATTTGTTTCAATACTAGAATAATGTAGAGATTCTTTGGGGTATTTTTCTTTCCTGCCGTGTCAGAATTCCACACACTGACGACATGTGTTGTTTCTTTTGAAGAACGGGGCAAATGATGTGAAACGCCATCGGTGGTTCCACTCTGTGGACTGGGAAGCTGTTCCGCAGAGAAAACTGAAGGTACAACACATATCAGTGGGTGACTCAGTACGCCCGAGCTCTCCCGTTAACAGGGACTGTCTCTGAATCCTGGGACTTCTTTATTGATGCCTGACATGTAATTAATTTGTCTAAAACCATTCATAAGCCAAGTTCCCCACTCTGTGTCTTAGTGATAATTAGCTCCCATAAAGGGGTGAGGACATGCAATGTTTGTCTTTCCATGTCTGGCTTATTTTACTTAATATATGGATCTCAGTTCTATCCATGTTGCTGCAAGTAACAAGATTTCATTATTTTTTTTTTATAGTCAAGTAGTACTCTATCCTGTCTGTATGCCACATTTTCTTTCTCTCTCTCTCTCTCTCTCTCTTCCTTCCTTCCTTCCTTCCTTCCTTCCTTCCTTCCTTCCTTCCTTCCTTCCTTCCTTCCTTCCTTCCTTCCTTTCTTCCTTCCCTCCCTCCCTCCCTCCATCCCTCTCTCTCTCTCTGTCTCCTTCTTTCTTTCTTTTTCTTTCTTTCTCCCTTCCTTCCTTCCCTCCCTCCCTCCCTCCCTCCCTCCCTTCCTCCCACCCTTCCTTCCTTCCTTCCTTCCTTCCTTCCTTCCTTCCTTCCTTCCTTCCTTCCTTCCTTCCCTCCTTCCTTCCTTCCCTCCTTCCTTCCTTCCTTCCTTCCTTCCCCTCTTTCTCTTTCTCTTTCTTTTTCTTTTTTCTTTTTTTTAAGAGATGAGGTCTCACTATATTGCCCAGGCTGGTCCAGAACCAAAGTGCAGGGATGACAGGCGGGAGCCACCACACCCAGTCATATATCATATGTTCTTTGTCCGTTCATTCATGGATGGACACTCATCTCAGATTTTGAAGCAGATTTTAGGAGAACTGGCCTGATTCCTGACTAGCTCCCTCCTCTTTAGTGGAAAGTGGTAAACAGGATTACAGAGATAAGCATGTGTCTAGCTCCATGGTAATCATTCAGTGATAGTGGTGTATTATGTGGAGAATATTCTTTGGAACATTTCTGGCCAAACTGCTTATTTTTAAACATCTGGCTTTTTGTCTGGGTGCGGTGGCTTACTCCTATAATTGCAGCACTTTTAGAGGCCAACTCTGGCAGATCGCTTGAACCCAGGAGTTTGAGACTGGCCTGGGCAATATGGTGAAATTCCATCTCTACAAAAAATACAAAAATTAGCCAGGTGTGGTGGCATATGCTTGTATTCCCAGCTACTTGGGAGGCTGAGGCATGAGAATTGCTTGATTCCAGGAGGCGGAGGTTGCAGTGAGCCGAGATTGCGCCACTGCCCTGCAGCCTGAGTGGCAGAGCTGGACCCCATGCCAAAAAACAAAAACAAAAACCCAGCAATCCCAGCGCTTTGGGAGGCCTAGGTGGGCAGATCGTGAGGTTGAGAGATTGAGACCATCCTGGCCAACATGGTGAAACCCTGTCGCTACTGAAAATACAAAAATTAACTGGGCATGGTGGTGCATACTGGTAGTTTCAGCTACTTGAGAGGCTGAGGAAGGAGAATTTGCATGAACCTGGTATGCAGAGGTTGCAGTGAGCTGTGATTATGCCAGTGCACTCCAGCCTAGTGACAGAGTGAGACCTCATCTCAGAAAAAAAAAAAAAAAAAAATCTGGCATTTTTATCAGTATGCAATTCTTGTCCATTTTATAAATGAGACTACCTCAGAAATTAAGCAGCATGTTGAAGGTTACACAGCTGCTAAACGGTGTAACTATCACATGTACATAATTATGGGTGTACATGTTGTATTTCGACACATGTATAGAATGTATTAGCCAGGCATGCTGGCTTATGCCTGTAATCTCAGCACTTTGGGATGCCAAGGCAGGTGGATCAGGAGGTCAGGAGCGTAAGGCCAGCCTGGCCACAATGGTGAAACCCCATCTCTACTAAAATTAGCTGGGCGTGTCCCAGCTGCTCTGGAGGCTGAGGCAGAGAATTGCTTGAACCCAGGCAGTAGAGGTTGCAGTGAGCCGAGATCGCACCACTGTACTCCAGCCTGGGTGACAGAGCGAGATTCCATCTTTGAAAAAAAAAAAAGAATGTGTAATTATCAACTTAGGATAATCAGGGTATCCGTCAGCTCAAACATCATTTTTGTGGGTTGGGAATATTGCAAGTCTTCTAGCTATTCTGACATATACAATATATTGTTGTTAACTTTGGCCACCCAACTATGCTATCAAACACTAGAACTTATTCCTTTTATCTATTGGAATGTTTGTACCCATTAGCCAATGTTTTTTCATCTCCCCTTCATCACTCACCCACATACCCCTCCCACCCTCTGGTAATCATCATTCTACTGTCAGCCTTCATGAGATCAACTTTTTTAGTTTCCACATATGAGTGGGAATGTGCTTGTATTTCTCATTCTGCATCTGGCTTGGTTTATTTATTATTTATTTTTTGTTTTCTGGGACAGCATCTCGCTCTGTTGCCGAGGCTGGAGTGCAGTGGCATGATCTTGCTCACTGCAGCATCCTCCTCCTGGGTTCAAGGGATTCTCATGCCTCAGCTTCATGTAGCTGGAATTACAGAGGCCTGGCTAATTTTTGTATTTTTACTAGAGACAGGGTTTCATCATGTTGGCCAGGCTGGTCTCAATCTCCTAACCTCAAGTGATCCACCAGCATGGGTCTCCCAAAGTGTTGGGATTATAGGCGTGAGCTGCTGCACCTGGCCTGGCTTAGTTTACTTGACATGATGATTTCCCATTCCATTCATGTTGCTGTAAATGACAAGATTTCATTCCTTTTTATGGCCGAATAGTTTTTCATCGTGTGTATGGACCACATTTTCTTTATCCATTCATCTGTTGGTGGACACTTAGGTTGATTCCATATCTTGGCTTTCGTGCGCACTCTGCACTGCGTATGTTACTGATTGGAGTGTTCAATGATAGTGTTTTCACTTTTGCACTTCAGAGTCAAAAGAATGGAGAATGCTTAGAAATATGCTTAAAAATGCTTATTTCCAGGCCTCAGCTCAGACCAGAGTTTCTGGGGCTGGAGCCTGGGCTGTAGTGCAGTGGAGTGATCTCAACTCATTGCAAACTCCACCTCTTGGATTCAAGTGATTCTTCTGCCTCAGCCTCCCAAGTAGCTGGGGTTATAGGTGTGCACCACCACATCCAGCTAATTTTTTTTTGTATTTTTAGAAGAGATGGGGTTTCACTGTGTTGCCTAGGCTGGTTTCAAACTCATGACCTGAAATGATCCACTCTCCTTGGCCTCCCAAAGTGCTGGGATTATAGGCGTGAGCCACTGGGCGTGGGTTGATGCACATCATTTTGTTCAAAGTTTTACCTTTTCAAATACTTTATTTGTATTAAATTGCATTTAAAAAACAATTTGAATACATTTTATCTGTTCACATTGGTCAAAAACCAGGTCAATATTAAAACAGATATATTGTCAAGTCTCCCTCTTACCCCCTCCAAGCCACCTTTTATTACATTTTTCTGTGTATCCTTCTAGACTTTCTTTGGGCTAATAAAAACCCACATGGATACATGCATTGTTATTTTTGCCACTCATTTACAGTAATCTAGGGAAGCATAGTATGTACATGATTATAGTCTTGCTTTTGGCACTTGACTGTATAATCTGGAGACCTGTCTACATACCTGGGTAGCTTCATATTTTATTTTTATTTTTATTATTTATTTTTTTTTTTTTTTGAGACAAAGTCTTGGTCCATTGCCCAGGCTGGAGTTCAGTAGTGTGATCTTGGCTCACTGCAACCTCTGGCTCCCAGGTTCAAGTGATTCTCCTGCTTTAGCCTCTTGAGTATCTGGGATTACAGGCACCCGCCACTGTGTCCAGCTAATTTTTGTGTTTTCGGTAGAGACAGGGTTTCTCCATTTTGGCTGGACTGGACTCGAACTCCTGACCTCAGGTGATCCACCCGCCTTGGCCTCCCAAAGTGCTGAGATTACAGGCATGAGCCTCTGTGCCCAGCCAGCTTCCTCATTTAAAAAAAAACTGCTTTGTATTCCTTCACATGACTGTACCATAGCTTAGTTAGTACTATATATGTATATATTTTGAGACGGGATCTCACTCTGTCATTCAGGCTAGAATGCAGTGGTGCAGTCATGGCTCACTTGCAATATCGACCTCCTGGGTTCAAGCAGTCCTCCCACCTCAGCCTACTGAGACTATAGGCACATAGCACCACACCTGGCTATTTTTTGTATTTTTTGTAGAGACGGGACTCCCTGTGTTCCCAGGCAGGTCTCAAACTTCTGAGGCTTAAACGACCCTCCTGCCTTAACTGCTTAAAGTGTTGGGATTATAGGCGTGAGCCCCCACACCTAGCCTTATTCACAATATTTTAATTCAAAGATTGCCGTGTTCATAAACAAAGGGAAGACCGCTTTAGTGTTTTGCAAATCATTTTCATTTTTAGGTACAGTGACAGAAGTAAAGGGGTGTGTGCAGCGTCCAAGCGTCCCATTCCTTTCTAAGCATGTCTTTGTGCTTCGACCATGTCTCACAGCCTCCCATCGTGCCCAAGATAGCTGGCGACGGTGACACGTCCAACTTCGAAACTTACCCCGAGAATGACTGGGACACAGCCGCGCCCGTGCCGCAGAAGGATTTAGAAATCTTCAGGAATTTCTGAGGTCAGGAGCTCACATCTGGAAGGTATATCTTTATATTTAGTAATTACCATAAAATGAGACTGACTCGACCCCACATCCAGGTGAGGCTGTGTTTACTGAATGGGGCTTAACCTCATGTGCACAGAGGTCAGCAGTGAAGCAGAGCAAAGGGGAATGATTCCAAGGGTCAGTGACATAAACACAGCCATGCCTGTGACTCCAGGTCAGCATGTGGTCGGAGGCATCGGCGTCACAGTTCAGAATCCATCTTCTGCGTCAGAGCCTGCACATCTAAATAAGACCCCTGGGTGGTTTGTGTGTGCCTGAACATTTGAGAAGCCCAGCTCTTCTGGTCCCTGTTCCAGAAACCCTGAGTGACAGGCGAGCTTCCTTACAATAATTAACAAGTATTTTCAAAAGTCTCTTAGGTCCCCTTTGGTTAAAAAATAAGAAGAAGAAACGTACCCTCATAGGAAATTTGCTAAGCTTTGAAGATGACTGGAAAGGGATTTTGAGTCTATTACTTCTTTGAGCCTTTGCAGGTCTGTTATTATTTTTTAAATAATAATAATATTTTTTAGGATCCCTCATGAAATTCGCTAAGCTTTAATTTCAGATGACTGGAAAAGGGTTTTGACTGTTACTTCCTTGAGTCTTTGAAAGTCTATTATTAGTTTTTAAATATGGATTTAAAAGAGCTTTCAATTCTAAATTGCTCGGTTATATGGCTTCAATTAGATCTTTCTTCCTGTAACATATGAGCAAGAAAAATACCAGTGAAGCAAAATATTGTCAGTGATGTGTCTACTCATTGACATAGCTTGTTTTTCCCACATTGATTTCCATTCCCATAATTTTCCTGTAGTCTTCCCAGTTATGTGAAGTGGAAAGCCAGTTGGCTAACCAATACCATTTGAAACAGACACCAAATGTCACAGTTGCTGATTGGGGAGAGGAACCAACCTGCTGAAAGACAGGGTGAATGAGAGCCCTCCATCCTGGGCAGGTGTTTCCATGGATGTATCGAGAGGAAAACTGGATAAAAATTAAAATAATAGAGAACAAAATGATAGAGGAATAGGTGGCTATGACCTCGAGAAGATAACCTGTCTCTGTGGCATGGCTTCACCTCTCAGTATGTGATGAACACTTTTACTTCACCTCACTATGTGATGAACGCTTTTACAGTGGTGACCGGTTTGTGTTAACATGAGAGCATGTAACTTTATGAACATCGTAAATGCTCATGAAATCCACTTGTGGGTTTTAAAAATCGTAAGATGTTCCTGAATGTGTTTTCCTCTTCGTGTTTCTCTGGTCTACTCTGGGGCTTACATTTTTGCTGACTTACCCATAGCATCTTATGAATTATGTCTCTCCAGGAAATCTTTGAAATGATGTAAAAACTGGTTTGCTTTAGTATGAAGGACCCCTAGTTGATCAGCCATATACTTTCTCTAATAGAGACCCCCTCAAGTGTAAAATTTACTTACATAACAAAAAAGCTTCCATTGGATGGATTTTTGTCTTATAATCAGTGAATAGTTTCATTACATTCTGTCCCCATCTGCCCCTACTGTCCCTGAAAAAGATTTCACACATGGGAATAACCTTTCTCAGTCTAGTTTGTATTCTTGAGAAAGTATGTGTAAGTATTGTTTTTGCTAAGTGGAATTATCTTTTAATTAATTAATTAATTAATTAATTATTTTGAGACAGAGTCTCACTGTGTTGCCAGGCTGGAGTGCAGTGGCATGATCTCAGCTCACTGCATCTTCTGCTTCCTGGGTTCAAGTGATTCTCCTGCTTCAGCCTCCTGAGTAGCTGGGACCATAGGTGCATGCCACCACACCTAGCCAAGTTTTATATTTTTAATAGAGATGAGGTTTCACCATGTTGGTCGGGCTAGTCTTGATCCCTTGATCTTATGATCTGCCCAACTTGGCCTCCCAAAATGCTGGGGTAACAGGTGCGAGCCACTGTGCCCAGCTGAAATCATTTGTAATATAGCTTGTCTAGTGGTCAGGGCTCTGTTTAATGATTTTTCTTTTTTTTTTTAACAGAGTCGCACTCTGTTTCCTAGGCTGGAGTGCAGTGGTGCTATGTCAGCTCACTGCAACCTCTGGCTCCTGGGTTCAAGTGATTCTTCTGCCTCAGCCTCCTGAGTAGCTGGGATTACAGGTGCCTGCCACCCTACTAGGCTAAGTTTTTGTGTTTTTAGTAGAGACAGGGTTTCACCATGTTGGCCAGGCTGGTCTTAAACTCCTGAGCTCAGGTGATCCACCTGCCTTGGCCTCCAAAAGTCCTGGGATTACAGGTGTGAGCCACTGCTCCCAGCCCATATGCAATATTTTAATCTATTTCAGTAATTTTATCGAAACTAATTTGTATACCAAACACATCTCTGGCATTTTCAGTGAAGACGGATCAGGTTCAGGAATTTTATGCAGGAAGATAGTTCTTCATGAAGCCAAATCTTCTCCTGTAAATAGGACACCAGTTCAGATGAATCACTGCACTTGAGGGCAGCTTAGAAACTATGCTTTAGCCGTTCGTCTTTGTTTGAATCACCCCACATGCCTTTCTGAATGTAGAGGAGGAATTTAAGAGAACTGACTCACTATGTCTTTTATTTTACTTTGTGATAAAATATTTTCTGTCTTGCTGTAAGGTTCTCTGAGGAAGCATGTTGAACTGGGGATCCCATTTTTGTTGTGTAGCTCATCATCTATTGGTGGATAAATTTTATTTATGGATAAGATAAGCATATGATAGAACGTTCTTTAGGCTGGGTGTGGTGGCTCCTACTTGTAATCTTGGCAGTTTGGGAGCCTGAGGTGGGAGGCTTATTTGAGGTCAGGTTTTTGAGATCAAGCCTGGGCAACATAGTGAGACCCCATCTCTACAAAGAATAAAAAAGCCAGGCGTGGGTGATACATACCTGTTGTCTCAGCTACTCTAGAGGCTGAGGTGGGAGGCTCGCTTGGGCCCAGAAAGTTGAGGCTGCAGTGAGCTGTGATTGTGTCCCTGTACTCCGGCCTGGATGGCAGAGTTAGACCGTATCTCAAAAATGAAAACAGGGCTGGGCAAGATGGCTCACACCTGTAATCCCAGCACTGTGGGACGCTGAGGCGCATGGATCATCTGAGGTCAGGAGATTGAGACCAGCCTTGCATGCAAACATGGTGAAACCCTGTCTCTACCAAAAATACAAAAATTAGCTGGGCATGGTTGCAGGCGCCTGTAATTCCAGCTTCTCATGAGGCTGAGGCAGGAGAATCTCTTGAACCCAGGAGGCGGAGGTTGCAGTGAGCTGAGATTGCGCCACTGTACACCAGCCTGGGCAACAAAAGCAAAACGCCGTCTCAAACCAACCAGCCAAAAAAAACCCTTACCTTTGAAACATTCTTCATTTCCTTTTGATTGGCCTCTCCTTTTAGAATTCAGGCTTATGGGTCCTTGCCAAAGAATTACAAAGGGAAGTTTGCTTTGTTGTCACTTAGGAAAAGGAAACCTTTGTGTTATCATTGAGATGATCATGACTACGAAATTCATCCAGTTACTGAGAAACTCACAAAATCTTTCATCCTATTTCATGCTAGAAACAGGAAGATTGGAATCGGCCTGGAACAAAGAACTGCACCTAAGCAGACCGGAAGTAAAATGTCTTTTTCACGGCATAAGGACATTTCCACTTTTCTGTGTACCTGTGTGTATAGAAATAGATCAGAGCACAGTTGAAATTAATGGAACTGACATTATTTAAGCAACTGGAATTCCACACTGTAGGAAGGTTTAGAAAATTGTTTGATTGTAGATTTTGTCTTATCCTTTAGTGTTGTCTTGGTTTTTCTCATAGACTTTATAAGTTTGAACTGGACTCATTCGATTATAACCATAAATTGTGTGTGTGTGTATATATATATGTAGAAGTCATTATGGCAGATGCATACAAATTGTGCAATGATGTAAATATTCATACTTCACAGAGCCTGTAATTTTTATTTTTCAATTTGGTTTTTCAAATTTTCTTCTCTTGGGGACAACATCTGAAGGGTATGTTGCATGCATTTTTTTAAAAATCATCTCATATGCATTTTATAGTTTGGGGGAAGAAAATATCTGGGGGGTGGGAGGTGTCTACATTCAGTATCTTCAGTGCCTCCTACCTAGTAATGTGTTTCTCCTTTAAAAGGAGAAACATGGAGAAGAAGATGTGGGAGCGAATTTATTCCAGGAATCTACAATGACTTTGAAATTGTTGGAGCAGTGTACTGTATTCAAAAAACCTGTGTCACATTCAAAAATTTCATCTGGGCTAGGTGCAGTGGCTCGTTCCTGTAGTCCCAGCACTCTGGGAGCCTGGGCTGGGAGGATTGCTTAAGACCCGGAGTTTGAGACTGGCCTGGGCAACATAGTGAAACCTTGTCTCTACAGAATTTACAAAGATTATAAAAATTAGTCGGATGTGGTTGTGCATACCTGTAGTCCCAGCTATTCAGGAGCTGTGGTAGGAGGATGGCTTGAGCTCAAGAGGTTGAGGCTTCAGTGAGCTGTGATTGTACCACTGCACTCCAGCCTGGACGACACAGCAAGACCCTGTATTAAAAAAAAAAATTCATCCTGCACAGGTAAATGGCTACCTATTAAAGTCCCAGTTGAAATGTTTTGAACAAAATACACCTCCCATACTTCCCAAATAACTTTTAAGATCAGTTCACCTGTAAGGCTGACCTTTATGCAGATATTTTATTTCACCTGTAGCTTTGGGAAAAGCGACAAACAGATGATCTATGGGACGTGAGTAAGTGGCAGAATTGAAAGGAACCTCACCTGTTTCTAATTTCTCGTAAATGTTCATATTGAGTGTGCCTAATAATCTTCCTCAGTAGCTCATGCTGTTTTATGCGGAATAATCCAGGAGTGAGAGTCATCTCTTGGGAAGTGATTGGGGAGACACCCCGAAGGAGCAGCCTCCAGCTATTCTTCTCTGGGTGTTGATGTCATGACAGCCATACAGTGAGTTTGTCCTGAAACATCTCTCGCTAAATGTGGGTCATGCTAGACACAGCATAAACTGCGGGCGTGGGATCTTGCTTTGTAAGTAACTCATTTTTTTCCTTGCTTTTTCTCTGGACCATCCTGGCTCAAAACTTGGCTGTAGACATCTGAACAGGGTGCACCTTTTCTTTTTACTCTGACTCAGCTTAAGTATGGCATTGCTCAAATCTGCTGTGTATGAGGTCGCAGGGCCCAGCTGTGGCAGGAGTGAGTAGACTTAGAGCCTTCCAGGAATTCTTCGTTGACAACAGGGATACACTCAAGACCTCCAATACTTTCTTCTCCACCTCTTCTTTTTCTCATGTCCTGCTTTCATCTGTCTCCTTCTGCACCCAGAGTGGGGGTGGAATGTGCCCTTGCCATGTTTTGGTGAAAATGTGTGCAATGAGAAGACAGTTGGGTTCCCCCTGGCTCCTTATCTCTTCTCAAAACTCAATAGCTCAGGTTCTCTGGAGCCGTCAGTGCATTCCTTGCTATTGGAGCTGTTTTTTCAAGCAGTACCTGCGAAGATATTTCTCCCTCTAGCACTTGCTACCTCTCTTCTGCACACACATCACACATCTAGTACGGTGGAGAGTGTCTATTAGGAAAAGCCATTCAGTTATTTAAAAGTAGAGAACTGTCAAGAGAAATGTAATCAGATTTGGCCAGAGTTCGCCTACAAATAAGAAGGCACTGGGTCAAGCTCACGTCTGTAATCCTAACACTTTGGGAGGCTGAGGTGAGAGGACTGCTTGAGCCCAGGAGTTCAAGACTAGTCTGGGGACACCTCATCTCTACAAAATACAAAAAAATTAGCCGAGCATAGTGGAGCATGTCTGTAGTCTCAGCTACTCAGAAGGCTAAGCTGAGAGGATCACTTGAACCCAGGGAAGTCCAGGTTGCAGTGATCTGAGATAGCACCGCTGCCCACCAGCCTGGGTGACAGAGTGAGACCCTGTCTTCTCCCTCCACACACACACACAAACACCCAAAAAACCTCAGTGGCTTTTTGCTTTTGAAGATGGCATGAAGAGAACGTACACTTTAAAGCTTTAAAAGACAGTGAAGCTGATTGTGGTAGTTCACTCTTATAATCCTAGGATTTGGGGAAGCTGAGGCAGGAAGATTGCTTGAGCCTGGGAGTTTGAGACTGGCCTGGGTAGCATAGCGAGATCCCATCTCTATAAAAAGAAAAAAAAATGTTAAAACACAGTGAAATTGCAGAAACAGAACATTGCCACTGTTTTTCATCAGTGACCTTTTCTTCACGTGGCGGTTTACTCAGTAGGTGAGAAAATTAGTAGGTTCAGTAGAATAAAGTCTTTACAATTAGTCAGTCAGTGGAAAATGATGTTCAGATGGTGAAATGTGGAAATGTTTTAGACAACTGTATTTTCAGTCTGTGCGTCTCACTCACCATCTTGTTGGGATTAACAGTTGAGGGCCATCATTGTCTAAACATATAGCATGCAGTTTCCCATCAGTTTCACCGTGAATGTGAAAAGGTGAAACTGGTGCTGACGTCGGCAGCAGGTATACTAAAATTGGAATGACACAGAGGAGATTAGCATGGCTCCCTTTGCAAGGAAGATCCGTATATTCATGCAGCATTCCAAATTTTTTTTTTTTTTTAAAAAGGTTATACTGTGCACTGAGATGTGGAGCTAGAAGGAAAAGCATTAGGTCTTATGTTTGCTGACTATAAAAATAAATCATAGTAATATTATTGAACATTCTACTTTAAAAATTATTAATAAAACCATAAATGAAACACTTGAGCACATTTTAAAAAGTACATAGACCCATGAGTCCATATGCCTATTTTTAGGTTGTCTGTTTTATTATCCAGGATTTCATACTCAGATGAAAATTAGCATCAGGAAAGCCTGAAATGCCTTAATTGTGAGCTGATATGCAGGAAAATGAAATATGCAAGCACATGGATGACCTCGTTCTTTACGGACATTGTTATCAGCCTCTAGCCATACAGAACAAATGAGAAATTAGAAGCAATTCCAAGAACGTGTGATGGTGTGAAACCCACTTTTGACCGTCATGCACATTTCAGCATTTGAAGTGACACGGGCTACCTGGTAACTGCCCATGGCGGGGTCATAGTTTAAAGGGCCCAGTGTCATGTAGAGGTTAATTTAATCAAAATTAGCTAAAACATGGAACAATCACTATTAATGATTTAAAAAGAGTTTACCTGGCAGAGCGCTGTGTCTCATGCCTGCAATCCCAGCACTTTGGGAGGCCCAGGGAGGCAGATCACCTGAGGTCAGGAGTTTGAGACCAGCCTTGCCAACATGGTGAAACCCTTGTCTCTACTAAAAACACAAAAATTAGCCAGATGTCGTGGCACAGGTCTGTAGTCCCAGTTACTATGGAGACTGAGGCAGGAGAATATGGAACTTGGGAGGGCTGCAGTGAACCAAGATTGTGCCACTGCACTCCAGCCTGGGCAAAGGAGCGAGACTGCATCTCCCAAAATAAAAATAGTTGACCTGGGTGGATTTTGCAACATTTTTGCATAGATGGTCCTGTGAAACAATCACTGTGCAAAATGTGGAGGAAAATTCATTACAATAATCACATAATTTTGTATCAGAGAAACATTACAAATTTACTTTGCTTATGTAATTTTATGAGTTGGAAGTATTTTCTTAAATTGGAATACTGTAAGAGAATATCTTTAAGAAATGGATATGTTACAACAAGAAGTATATTGGGGCAAGTCTTGTTTTTCTGAAGGGAAATGCCACCAGCCTGCTTTCATAGGCATTCATAAAGCCTGGAAGGAAATAAAGTCAAACAAAATAGTATACATTGTATCTACTGAATTCTTCTAATTCTTTGCAACAGAAGTCTAAATCCTGCTTAGCTTAAACATATCTATAGCCAGCAATGGGCAAATTATATTTGCTGTCAGCATGATAGAATAAGAAGCAGAAACCACCCAGCAGTGGGGTAAGATTGCACGCTTCGTCCCCTCAAAATGCTGTTCAGCCCCACTCTCTCTCCGTGCCCATCAAACAACTGCACAATCACTTGTTTGTGAATTTTTCATTCAGCTTTTTGTTTCTTTCTGTCCATACTTAAAGACCAAATCATTTGTTTGTTTTGAAGAAAAAGCAAAAACAAGAGCAAAAACACCAAATCATTTGAAATCACTACTCATTAAAAAAAATCACCAGTGGAACCAAACAGTTGAGTGGTTCGTGATGTGTTCGCCATTTCTGTGTTTGACCTACGTGGCCTCTAGTTCTTTGGACCATTGTAACTCATGTGAAACTATGGCTTAATACTGTTAAAGACCCCAAGGCTCAACTCTGTAGCCAGGGTGCACCTCAGGCTGCACAAATACCACACCAGAATGTCATAGGCATTCATGGCTCCACCTACTGAGTGAACAGAGTGCAAGACAGCACTGGCTTGGGTTTTATTTTTGTAGCCAGTTAACTTTGCATCAGGTCTACACAGTCCTTGCAGCCTTTGATTTCTCCTGTTGTAGAGATTTGAAATGGGGTGCCCGGGTTCCTCTCATCTTTCCTTCAATCTACCTAGCATGCATTTTACACACATTGGAGGAGTCGTATGCACTGTTTTTTTCTCTGTTGCTGACGGAGGCAAGAAGGCCTTCTAATTAGTCTAACTTAAAGGAATGGGATTCACTTAACAAAAGCAAGAAGAAAAGCACATGAACAGGTGTCTTAATGCATTTCGATAGTTTCTTGGGGCGGGGTGTGTGTCTTGGTGAAGGTGGGGGGGGCTGTATTTTCACCAAGCTTTTTCATAATCAAGTTTGCTTTGCAAACCTTATGGCCTTGCACCCCGCAGAAGAGTCCTTCCTAATAACAGGGGAATGCCCTGTCAGGTTCTCTGTAAATTATTGTGTGTCGGGAGGTTCTGTTGAGGCTTAGTTTGATCTTCCATGGTGGACACGTCTGTTCTGTATGTAAAAGGCATTACAATTGTGTTCTAGCGGATGGGATTTGAAGCCTTTCCACGGTCCTTATCCTGTGAGATGGCTGTTGAGCTCTGCTCAGCTGTTGTAGCTGAATTCTTGTTTTGCGCTGAACATTGGGCGGCCTCACCGTGTTGCCACCGTGCTTCTGGGGCCCTGTGACTGCCGCCGGATGCCGCACACACAAGCAGAGTGCCTTTGCAGGTTTGTGCACCCCTTGGCGAGCCAGAACTGGGAACCCCGTGGGGTGACCCCACCTTCTCATGGCGGGTCGGGGAGGGGAGTGCCTATTTTTAATCCTGTCTGTTTGTTGCACAATGGAAATCACTGTGATTTGTACATATGCCCTAGGAAAATTTTACTGCTGTCTAATTTATGTAATAATACTGTTGATTCCAGGTTTGTTTAATAAAATTTTTTATCTTTTCAGAAGTCTGAGTCTCGTCTGCTTCTGTCTCCAAACAAGCTGTGGCTTTTCTCCTTTAGTCGAATCCAGGGATGGGCAATTATCTGTAGGGGCCACATGGCAGATATTTCCGCATTGCAGGACACACGGTCTCTGTTGCACAGAGTGCAAAAAAGCTGCTATAATTAGGCACGGAGGTGCACGCCTGTAATTCCAGTGCTTTGGGAGGCCAAGGCAGGAGGATTGCTTGAGCCCAGGAGCTTGAGACCAGCCTGGGCAATGTAGTCCCGTTTAGTGACCTGGGATCCACCTTGAAGCACTGACTCCTTCCAGGTTTACAGAATACATAGGAGAACCTACCATTTTAATCATTTGCCTATATCTTGATCCTATATCTTTATTTTCTTACTCTTCACCTGATTTGGCTATTCCTTAACACTTTCTGTCCTTTTATCTTCACTGAAGTTTAGCTTAGTTTTCTGCCTTTAAATGTGTTCTTCGAGTAATGACTGATCATCCTCGTTCTAGGCTCCAAAGATTATAGTAGATGTACTCTTTCTAGACAGAATAAATTTTGATGGCACATTTTTAAAAAAATTTATCTTTTTGAGGGTTTGGTTCTTCAAATTTGAATTAATATTTCAAATGGCTTAATTATTTTTTTAATTTTTTAATATTATGTAAATATTGTCATGTTTTGTATTGTAAATGTTACAGCATTTGTGACAATGAAAATAAGTCTTAAAACATATCCCAGAAATAAAACCACTTCATAATGTGTAAAAAGTTCTCTATCAATATCTGCTTTGGTCATTGTCATATGGGCTTCACAATTCTCTTACAATTTATAAAATTTGAGCTAGGCAACCTAGTGAGACTTTGTCTCTACAAAAAAATGAAAATATTAGCTGGATGTGGTGGTGCATGGTGTAGTCTTCACTACTCAGGAGGCTGAGGTAGGAAGATTGCTTGAGCCCAAAAAGGGTGTGTGTGTGTATGTGTATGTGTATAGATAGATGATAGGTAGATATAGATGAATAGATAGATGATAGATAATAGGTTGATAGGGATAGAGGTTTATAGGGATGGATGATAGGTGGTTAGATAGGTTGAACGATAGTTTCTCATGCAAATGCCCAGGGTTTCTCTAACTGAGCACTGCTGACATCTGAGGCTGGGTGATTCTCTGTGATTGGTGCCATTCTGTGCATTATAGGATGTTGATAGACATCCTTGGTCTCTACTTCCCAGATACCAGTATCCCCCCACTTGGCCCCCACTCCTGTGGTGACAACTAAAAATGTCTCCAGACATTTACAAAAAGCCGCTGGGAGGTAAAATCTCCCCTGGTTGAAAACCACTACTTAGAAAAATAAGATTGGGGACCATTTGGGAGCCATCAAGTGAGAGCAAAACAGAAAGAACCAGGACTTAAATGGTGATCTTCCTTTAAGCTTTCACAGCAAGAAGTAGAAAAGAAGTATAAAGATCTCTTGCAGTGGGTGTTCGAAGGATTTTTTTTTGATGTGTGTTGCCTTTCCTTTCTCTGAATTCATCTCGGGATTTTACTCAATGCTGCCAAGTCAACATTTGATCTTTGCCAAACAGAAAATATTTCTATGAACAGTGTAGTGAATTGTAAGTAAGAGCCTGGGGTGCTTGAAAGTGCCTTGAGTCATGAGTCAGAGACCTGGGTCAGGCTCTGCTTCTCACTGGGGCCATTGTGGTGGACATGTTTCTTAAGCTGTTTTCCATATTAATGGATCCATTCTTCAAATAGGGGCAGTAATTATTCCTGTGGGCTCCCTTTCTGATCAGAAACCTCCAATAGCTCTGTTGCACTCAGAGGACAAAATAATATCATAACAGTGTAGAAGCGTCTCCATGATCTGCTGTCAGTAATGTCCCAGAGTCTCTCTCCAGGGCGTCCACTGTCAATGCCTGGACTGTGCTTCAGAACACATCCCAAAATCTCCTGCCATGGGACCTTTGCTCTGGCCCTTTTCTTTCTTTTAGATACAAGCATAGCGTTCACCTTTACCATCTTCAAACTCTTTGCTCAAATTCTTCTCAATTCCTCCAGCACTTCATTTAAAATTTTAACTTCTTTCCAACACTTGTCTACCACTTTTCTGAAACTTGTTTTTTTCCCTCTCCATCACTGAGCACTTTCTACTGGTTTGTACCCTTTTCTTGTTTACTTTTTTTATTGTCTTCCTCTTCCCACTAGAATGCAAACTCCAGGCAGGCAAGGAATTTGGTCTTTGGTTGGATTTGTTGTTGAAACCCTGGCACCTAGAACAATATCTGGTACTTAGGTGGTGCATTCCTCATGTGAAACTATATTAGCGATGATTCACCTTATCACCAGGCATAGCTACCTTATATTAATTTACAGTCATGATATGACATGAATAAGATTCACTGTAATTTAGGTGTCTGAGAAAAAGAGAATTAAGTGGTTTGCCATTTTTGTATTACAAACACTACTACATAAAATAATCAGGGCTGGGCACCGTGGCTTACACCTGTAATCCCACCACTTTGGGAGGCTAAGGCAGGTAGATCACCTGAGGTCAGGAGTTAGAGATCAGCCTGGCCAACATGGCAAAACCCTGTCTGTACTAAAAATACAAAAATTAGCTGGGCGTGGTGGCATGTGCCTGTAATCCCAGCTATTCAGGAGGCCGAGGCAGGAGAATCACTTGTACTGGGAGGTGGAGGTTGCAGTGAGCTGAGGTTGCGCCACTGCGCTTCAGCCTGGGCAACAAGAGTGAGATTCTGTCAAAAACAACAACAACAACAACAACTAAACAGTTGTTATACGTAAACTATCTTTCCCCATTCCTTCAACTTCTGAACTTTGCAACTAATCACATAGTAAAGGGTTTCTATGTCATGTTAGGTTATTAATTCCAAATAAAACTTTATTAATTTTATTTGTTATGAGTGCCCATTTTGTGTTTGGTTTCATAGTCTGTGTGTAAGGTGAATATTCACTAGTGGATGTGGACCTGCCATATTTCGGTAACATTTGGAAGTGAATTAGTAGATGTTTTGGAGTAGTTTATTGTCTCTTCTGCCAGTTATTTTGAATAATAGTGAGATTACAGTGCATGTTATTTCTATATTGAGAATTATTTTTGTTTATAAGTTTACCCTTCTGCTTTGTATTGGTTAAATAAAAGCTACTCATGGAAGATATTTTTCTGTTAAAATTTACTTTTAGGCTGCTGGAAATCTCCTTTTGTCCGAACTCTGTAGTACCTCAGAGTTTTTCCTACAGGCATTCTAGAATTTTCCCCCATGTTTACTTTTTGATTTATGTCCACTATCACTGGCATACTCATCACACCTTCAAAATAAGCCTGTAGCTGGCCAGATGAAAAGAACTCCTTAAATATCAGGCTACCATTGTCCTCTCAAGACTCTGAGGGACTAAGTCTCCTGTATGGTTCAGAAAACAAGACAAAAAAAAGAGCAACATTAAGAGGATGGAAAACTGTTGTGCCGGACACAGTGGTTCGTACATCTAATACCAGCACTTTGGGAGGCCAAGGTAGGAGAGTCACTTCAGCCTAGGAGTTCAAAACTAGCCTGGGCAACATAGCAAGACCCTATCTCTACAAAACATAAAAAAAAATGAGTGTGGCCATGGTGTGCACCTGTGGCCCCAGTTCGGAGGCTGAGGTGGAAGGTTTACTTGAGCCCCAGAGGCAGAGACTGCAGTGAGCTAGGTTGCAGCACTGCACTCCAGTGTAGGTGACAGAGCAAGACCCTGTCTCAAAAATAAAAGAGGAGGCTGGTGTGCTGGTGAGCCAGTTACCCTGGGTAAAATAAAGCCCCGATTTGTAGCCTTTGCCAGCTTCTGTGTAAATGCTTTTTCTTCCCACAATTGATTTCAAGCTGCTAACAGTTTAACAAGTAGCTCACAAAATTCTTGAAATTTTTTTTTTTTGAGACGGAGGTTTGTTCTTATTGTTCAGGCAACAATGCAATGGTGTGACCTTGGCTCATTGCAGCCTCTACCTCCTGGGTTCAAGTGACTCTCCTGCCTCATCCTCCCCAAGTAACTGGGATTGCAGGTGCCTGCCAGCAGCCCTGGCCAATTTGTTGTTGTTGTTGTTGTATTTTTAGTAGAGACGGGGTTTAACCATGTTGGCCAGGCTGTCTTGAATTCCTGACCTCAGATGATACAGCCACCTCGGTCTCCCAAAGTTCTGGGATTACAGGCATGAGCCACCATGCTCAGCTAGCTCTTGAATATTTTAACAATCACCTCGAAAGAGCTGAAACAAGTCAGAAGGCATCATGGATTTACTTAGGGTCCCCAGAGGAACCAAGAACCATTTGTAAGGCACTTCATCTTTCTCCCCTTTTCATGGTGGATTTGGGAACTAAGGGGCTTCCTTTAAGGTCTTCTAATCTTTTCCTTAGACTATCCTGCCTGCTAAGAGGGTCAGGAGGAATTAGCCCAGCCAGGAAGCCCCTACCCCAGAGCCAAGAGCCTCAGGAGCAAGGCAGAAGTGTGGCTTCTCCATCATTCATTCTTGTTCCTTCCAGTATTTTAAATGGACACTTTAGCACATGAAAAGAAGGTAGATAAATACCTCCTGCCACACCTATCACCCTTAAACTTGTTGCTTACAGGCATTTTACATTTTAACATTGGCAACCTGGCCTCTAGAAAATGTAATACTCCTCTTGTTTATTCTCCATCAATAGTTTAAAAAGAAAACAACCAAAACATACTTGTGAAATCAAGGTTAGCCTAAAGCTGCCTCCTTACATATTTTAAGTTCAGCCAAAGGTTTCTTAGTACATCGGGAAGTCCAACAAGTGGAGGTGTACAAGGACTATGTATAGCGTACTCTTGTGCCCATCACTGAGTTTCAGCCAATCAAATGTAGCCAACTGTTCGAATTGTGCCCAAATAAGGCAAAAGCTGAGCTGTCACCAGTCCAGCTGTTTCTGAATCTCACTTCCATTTTCTGTATGTCGCTTTCCTTTTTCTGTCTACAAATCC